GTGCTGCTGGAGGTGGTAGTGGTGCTGCTGGAGGTGGTTGTGGTGCTGGTGGTAGTGGTGCTGGTGGGGGTGGTAGTGGTGCTGGTGGTGAGTGGTGCCACTGGGGTAGTGGTGCTGCTGGAGGTGAGTAGTGGTGCTGGTAGTGGTGCTGGTGGTAGTGGTGCTGGTGGTAGGCTGGTAGTGGTGGGGGTGGTGGTGCTGGTGGTGCTGGTGGTAGTGGTGCTGGTGGTAGTGGTGCTGCTGGTGGTAGGTGCTGTGGAGTGTGGTGCTTGGTAGTGGTGCTGGTGGTAGTGGTGCTGCTGGAGGTGGTAGTGGTGCTGCTGGAGGTGGTTGTGGTGCTGGTGGTAGTGGTGCTGGTAGGGGTGGTTGTGTAGGAGGCGCCATTTGGGTAGAGTTTAATATCTTGGTAGATCTGTGCATGATGATGTATTCTGGTTCAGAGTTAAATAACAAATAATATATCTGTGTGCGTTCTTTTATATTGCAGTAGAGTTACATAACGACGTAGTGTTTTAGAGTAACTATATCACGCTATATACTGTAATACAATCAATTAGTCGAAGTACTGCGTGATACAACCCGCTTTTAGACCGCTTTGTGTATGATGGTAGATGTTACAACAGAGTCATCCTCCATGTGGTGTTATTCCTCCTCTCATGCCTGACCAGTTGAGATAGATCAAGTGAGTTGAGTATCCCTAATGACCTGGTAGGTGCTCCCGGATGAGGTCAACATGTAGAGACTATCAGTATGAGATCGTGACCTCTGGTTGGACACATCACTCCTGTAATACTGTACTCCAAGATCTTGACCACAACTCGGTACTAAAATTGTTGGTTCTTCTCACACAAACACCAGGGCGTCAGTGTTTGTTCGGGCCAGATATTTGGAGCGACAGGTACTCTAGGTGTGGATGTCTTAACCTCGGGCCGGACCCAGTTGTGTGTTGGGTTTAGTACCAGGGTGCACCACAGTCAGTGTAAGGACGACGTGGACAACATCAACCAAGAAATTTCCAAATACTTCGAGTTTCGTCTACGAGGTACCTTAGTTGACCCTGTTAATTTATCCTTTCACTTGTGTAGGTATTCAAGAAGAGCATCGGGAATTACCCTCGTCTCCATTCATCAAATCAAGTGACCTTTACTAATTAACATACTCCTCGTGGGCTACAGGTGGTCATCGGATCTAATAACCAGTCCATACAGGTGTCGGAAAACATACAAGTAAGAACACGACTCGGGCTTCTCCCAGATATAACAAGGAAGAAGTAACAAGGTCCGCTATTGTCCGTAATGTGTGATCAATAACCCTGGAGGGGGTTGCGCGGGCTGGCAGGTTTCCCCAGAGAGAAATGCCTCCTTGACATACACTAGAAGCAGCTTTTGTGGAAGCTCGAGGAGGAACAACAAAGTCTTCAAGGGGAGTGACACTCTCAGATGTTGACTTTTGGTGTGAATCCAGACTAACCTGGACGCTGAGTTGGAAGCACTGTGCAAGGGTCTCGGCCGTGCAAGGGTCTCGGCCACACGAGGAGGGTGTTTGTTATATAAACCATTGTCGCGTCGTGGCAGCAAGCTGTAGCTCTTTGTTTTACACGGAGACAAAAGGTAAGAGGTGAGAGAATTTATGCCACTATTTTCTTTAGATAAAACTGTGTTCCGACCCTGACACACACAGACATAAACACCGTGGCCTCACAGCAACATCACTAACCTTTTAAATGTTTTAAAGTTATGGGATCACGTGAAAATTAGACCCCCAGCTTATTTCATCTTAACATTAACCACCATAAAGCTAAGCTAAGCTAACCTAACCTTACCTAATCCCCCATGTAATATCGTTCAGTGTTTAATCACCTGTTGAAATAGGCTGGAGGGGGCTAATCTTCACCTGATCAAAACTATGGGTTGAAGTTTGTTACCAGTCAAGAAGTTTCGTTAGTGTGTCGTGTGAGGCACATCTTGGCAACGTCTGAGACTGGTGCTGGCCCCTCCCTCTCCACCCCAGATGCTATTAACTACCGTGAATAAAGTTTTATTACCTCGCACAAGTTTAATGCATTCGTAAAACGGCAAGTTGTAGGTAATGAACACTAAAAGATTTATGGAAAACGTGAAAAAGTTAGTCTCGCAGGATCCACAAACTGATGGTTGAAGGCGCGGTGCTGGTGAGGGAACGTTTTGGTGTCCAGACCGTGAGACAAACTTTCTTCCCTCCCCCAATAACATTCTTCCTTGTAACATTCTTTCTTTTACTCTTCCATTATTTTGATAAGAGTAAACAATATATTTTAGTGTATTAGTAAACTACCTGTACTCCCTGAGGTATATACGAGTGTACTACGAGCCTAAAACTTTGAAACAATACGTGAATAAAGTAAAAGAAAAAGTCTTACCCTCAGTCGTTTAATATATACATCAACGTTAAGTTTAGATTAAGTTAAACGAGATATTTTAGATGGAGTTTCTTAACGTTATGAAGAACTGGGGATGGTGTACATGTTGAAGTTACTCTCAGAGGGGAAGTCTAAAAGAAAAAGAACGACTTGTATCTAAGTTATTGTGTAATAAAATGAGAATCAGAGGAAAAAGGTCACAGAAAGGTAACTTAACCTAACCTGACCTAACCTGACCTAACCTATCCCCTCCAAACCTATCCCATCCTAACCTATTCTGTATTAACCTAACCTAACCGACTTTTTTCCGGTCACAAGAAAATGAGGCTGTTTACCATAATTTTGAATCGAGTTAGAAGTTATAAGTAGATAGATGGATTTGTGTATGAGATAAAGGAATTCTATTAACGAGAGATGTAGTGTACCGTGTATATAGAAATTGCAATAGAATAAGATTGGAACGTGAAAAGAAGTTATGAGAGGCAATTTGAGGTTTGGTATAACTTGATAATGATACAAATAGTTTAATATCAACACCTCATACGTCAGAGCAAGACGGACAGGTATGATATATTGTACAAGAAAATATGTAAAAGTTATGTATGTGTGAACCTGGAATGTCTAAATATGTACTTTTTATATACATTTCTAATTATTTTATACATATTAAATTCTACTATATTTATCCTTTTTTTTTTAGTTATTTTTTTTGTATTTATTTCATATGTGTTTATAGTTTGTACACCTTAATAGGAACAGGTGTATAGCGCAGGTGAGGTCAGGTATTATTAACACACTGATTGCCGGAGTAGTAATTTGCTTCTCATGCTTAATATCCGTTCTCAGGATGGAATATACCTGCTCTATATCCCAGCGCTATATATTTTTTCTGATGCTGTAGATTAAAAAAAAAAAAACACTCCTCGTCTGGATGAGTGTGGAGAAGCCTGAAGGTGTGGTAGTCAATTTCCTGTCCTTTCCTCCTGAACTCTCTCTAAGACATCGATGAACCGCTTCTCGACCCGGACTTTGTGCTTGAGTGATCTATACTAGCTCCCACAATGTATGGTCAATTGGTCATAGTACTACTGACGATGGTCTATATTTAATGCTAACTACTTCGTCAGGTGTAGAGCCTCCGCTACAACGCACTTTATAACATTAATATATATATATAAAAAAACTATATATAATAAAATGGTTTACTTTTTAATTACATATTTCATTACAAGTTGGTTCATTTGTTGGGGTTTTCAGTAATAATTGAATAGATGAAATTTTTAGGGTTATCAAGTCTTTAAAAGTATTCAGTAGGTAAAGAAAACCTCACCTAATATACTAATGTGTGGTTTTTTGTTGACTCTCAGTGGAAATAATTGACTCGTGTGTTATTCTTTTTTGATATTTACTGTTGGTGAGAATAACACTTTGAGTGTCGTAAAAGATCATAATATCGAAGACTCTCTCTCTCTCTCTCTCTCTCTCTCTCTCTCTCTCTCTCCTCTCTCTCTCTCTCTCTCTCTCTCTCTCTCTCTCTCTCTCTCCATAACCCTCATTTCCCTCCCCCCACCTCCGTCTCTGCCCCCCCCCCTCCCATCTAGCAACCGTGTCATTTTTTCCTCGCCGTTGATTGGCTGGGTAAGTTTTAATCGGAAGTGGAGGAAAGTCTTCAGGGGTGTTAGATGTTGGTGAGTTGGTAAGGCGTTTATAGCCAGTGTGTGTTTATGTGTGTCGTGTAAGCTACCACCTCGTCCTCGTCCGCCAGGTAAAAGGAACGATTTCATGGCTTCTCTCTTTTTGTGGGGTAAAGGCGCGAAAGGAGAGTTTTGGCGGGAAAAAAAGATATTACGCGGGAGAAAGTTTTGGCGGGAGAAAGAGTTTTAACGAGAGATTAGGTTTATGGTGGATGATTGGGTTTTAACGAGAGATTATAGGTTTATGGTGGTTGATTGGGTTTTAACGAGAGATTAGGTTTATGGTGGATGATTGGGTTTTAACGAGAGATTAGGTTTATGGTGGATGATTGGGTTTTAACGAAATATTAGGTTTATGGTGGATGATTGGGTTTTAACGTAATGGTGGATCGGGTTTAGAGATTAGGTTTATGGTGATTAGGTTTATGGTGGATGATTGGGTTTTAACGAAATATTAGGTTTATAATACGTAACTTTCTCCGTCTTGGTGTCTATAAGAAAGTGATTCAATGTTATAACGAAGTCCCCGTATGTACTGAGGTTTAGAAGGAAGTGTCGAGTCATTTTTTTCCCAAAGTCTACGAGTAACTTTCTCAGGGCCAGCGTGAAATTTCCATCAACATCTAGTGTCTGTAACGTTGCCCTGGACCTGTGTGTGTATGTCATGTAGCCGACAGTTATGCTTCTAAATATGCTCATCAACTGCTACTCGTCTTAGCCATTGTTTACACGTGCTATCGTTCAGGATTTATAATTAATTTTGTTTATTATAAGACTCAGATGTATGAGTCTAGCTAAGTGTTACCTCGTTTTATTCTGAGACTAATATGTAATTGTGGCAGAGGATAAAATTTGCCACGATGATAACCAAATATGTACTGACAACCTAACCTAACCTAATCCAACAGATGGCGTGGGTTTGGACGAGGCCTCATCCGTGGTGGGTGACGGGTGGCGCATCAGGACTCCACGGGCTGGTTCCCTCAGAATCCGAGACTCCCGCGCAGAGGACAGTGGGCGGTACTTGTGTCACGCCCAGAATGGTGTCAATCCGCCCATCTCTAAGACCATTAACCTGTCCGTCTTAGGTGAGTTAATACAATATTCCTCCCTATACAAGTTAACACTACACGATTTCAACTTGCGTCTTCTAATCAACAACCTAACCTAACCTTACTTAACCTAACCTTACCTAGTCTTGCCTCACCTGTCCTGTACTTACCGCCCCAGTTTTTCTCATCTCCAAAACTATGCCAAATTTCTTCTCATTTCTTCCCTAGGTTGATAAATCATAACACGAGGCTGATCAAAACGTAAAATTTCACCTTCATTGCCTCACATGACGCCCTGAACTTTGTCCTTATTGTTGTATGCGTCAGTTTGTTGTGTTGTAGATGTAAGTTAGTATAAGATCTGAATGGGTGTATAAAGGTTATGGTTGTGACAGAGGGAGCTCGTATGGAGGAGCGAGTGGTGAACCAATCAGCAGCAGTGGGTGACAGTGTGGCTCTGAGGTGCCCGGCGAGAGGAGACCTGCCCCTGGCCTTCACCTGGGCCCGTGACGGTCTACCCATCACAGGTAAGTCACAGTAATTATCCCCTCCATAGCCTCCAGAACCACATGAATATTTGTTCATTAGATTTACCTGTACTAAAGTTAATCATGCCGCTATAGTGTTCAGTCAAGCCTCCCTGTTCACTTTATATTGTCTAGATAAGTTTAATTCAATTGGTGTAAACACAAAACTTAAGTCTAGTACCACGAGATATTTACAAATAGACTTTATAATTCAGTGCCAACAAGATACAAATTTGTCCTCCTGTAAAATAGATCATTCCTAGCCTCCAGTTTCAGCCAGCCAACAACTCTATTCTAACAGCTCTCAGGGGGTCCTTGATCGTACCGGAACTAGTAATCTATTCCATTTTGGGATCACCACATTTTTAACAGTAGGCTTCGTCTTTTTTGCTCTCCTCCATAACTTAACTATACATAATTAATTCTTTATGGCCGTAATGTTGACTCTTAACACGTGGGATGGGTGTTATACAGTCCTACTGATAACTGTTTCACACAATACAATCTAAAGCTATATCGTTTATCAAGAACCAGTCTTTCACTTTCGCCATACGTTCATTCCATTTCAGGTGATTCTTCGTCTTTAGTTTTCTCATATCTATTGTTTATTTCTTCCCTTGGATAGTATACCAGTAACATCTTCTCAATATCAGACTTCACTGTTTCTCATCTCCTCGTTCCTTACATTTTTTCCATTATAGAATTCCGTCCCCTGTCACGTCTTTCCACCTGTCCACAATCTACAATTCTTTGAGAAGTAGGATATTTAGACATCTTTTATCACGCGAGTAAACATAATTTTATCTCTCCTATCCATGGTGTGGGAGGTCAGTTTGTTCGTGAAATTATCCATGGGAAGCGACACTGTCATCTATACAACCCCTAGTTCATTACGATGTGGAAAATGGCTGTCATGAGTACTTGGTGATGACCCTGTGTGTGTGTGACAGGTGCGCCATCGTCAGAGGTAGAGATTGGTCTGGAGGAGGGAGGGAGGACGTCAGTGTTGATGATCCCCTCCACCAGCCGCTCCCACGCCGCTGTCTACACCTGCCAGGCCTCCAATCGCTACGGTGCCGACTCCACCACCTTCTTCCTCAACGTTGTGGGTAAGTTAGCGGTGTGACAGGTACTTTGATCACTATTCTTCTTGGCTAATAGAAGTGTTAAGAGGTGTCCTTTTGCTAGAATTTTGATCTTGTATTTAATATAATGTGTTTTGTCAGTCACAGTTGAAGGGCAAAATATTTATTAAAATGTTTCTGGTGTTATGATGCTGTTGAAGGTAGATAAATACTGGTGCTTCCACGACGTAGGTTAGTCACACAGGCTGGTGTGTTTGTATGGTGTAACGAGGTGCACGGTATAACACTCTCCCCTACAGAGCGGCCAGACCCCCCGGGACACGTCCATGTGAGGGAGGTCACCAGCCGTCACGTGTCCCTGGCTTGGGCACCACCCTTTGATGGCAACTCTCCGCTGACCCACTACCTGCTGCAACACTGGCCCGCCCACGATGCTGCCCCCATGCCCACTAACACCACCCTCCCCCTGGACCTGACCCAGGCTACACTCAAGGTAACGCCCACATACACCTCCCTCCCCACACCTTATCTATCTATCTATCTATCTATCTATCTATCTATCTATCTATCTATCTATCTATCTATCTATCTATCTATCTATCTATCTATCTATCTATCTATCTATCTATCTATCTATCTATCTATCTATCTATCTATCTATCTATCTATCCCATCTATCTATCTATCTGTCTGTCTATATGTCTGTCTGTCTGTCATCTGTCTGTCTGTCTGTCTGTCTGTCTGTCTGTCTGTCTGTCTGTCTGTCTGTCTGTCTGTCTGTCTGTCTGTCTGTCTGTCTGTCTGTCTGTCTGTCTGTCTGTCTGTGTAACTATCAATGTAACTCTATCAAACTGTATACATGTATGTATTATTTGCAGTTGTTGAGTTAATATTCATAACACACATACAGCCAGTGTTGAGACTCTCTGTCTTGCCCCACACAGGGTTTGTCTCCAGGCCGCACTACGTGCAGGTGTTGGCTGTTAACGCTCGAGGGGCGTCTCTCCCGACCTGAGCATCCACCACCTGCAGGAACCACCTGCCCCGCCCACGCCTCCGTGCCCACGCCCGCCAGCAGACCCACTATCACCCTTACTTGGCAGGTATGTTGTCTCACCTTTCATAAATTAACACCACGATTGGAGGTACCGCTTTGAATGGGGTGACACACATGAGAATAAAAAGCCTATTTCTTATTAACCCAGTAAGTGTAGTGACTTATTATGTATATACAAGTAGTGGTATAATCTGCATGTGTGAGTGAACCTGCCACCATCACTAGGCGCCAGCAGCACCTGAGCCCCGGCCAGGTGAGTGCACCAGGTGGGTTATCACGAGGCAGGAGGCTGAGCCGAGGAGGGAGTACAGGTGGAGGAGTGTTCGAGGAGGAACCATGACCACAGAGATCCTGGGCCTGAGACCACACACCGCCTACAGGGGTCACCGTCAGAGCTGTGAACCAGGTGGGAGCCGGACCACCTGCAGGGGGTGTAACAGTCACCACCAGCCAGGGAGGTTAGTCGTGGTATTATATTTCCTTTTTCTGTGAGTTCTCTTCTGTTATCCATATATCATAGCATATACATAGACATAATACATATACATATACATAATACATATATACATGTTCATATACCAGAGGCAACGTAAACCAGAAAACATTTAGTTAAACTCGTAATCCTCTTAACATATTCATATAAAAATAATTTGCAGAAGTCGTATTTCTCTCTTACACAACACCCACCACTAGTGACTGTCCCCACCAGCCCACCACCACCACTAGTGACTGAAAATACCACCAGCCCACCACCACCACTAGTGACTGTCCCCACCAGCCCACCACCACCACTAGTGACATCCCCTGGCCCACCACCACCACTTGTGACTGTCCCCACCAGCCCACCACCACCACCACTAGTATTTCTCCCCACCAGCCCACCACCACCACTAGTGACTGTCCCCCCCCACCAGCCCACCCACCACCACTAGTGACTGTCCCCCACCAGCCACCACCCCACTAGTGACTGTCCCCCACCAGCCTACCACCACCACCACTAGTATTCTTCCACCACCACCACCACCACTAGTGACTGCCCCCACCACCACCACCACCACCACTAGTGACTGTCCCCCACCAGCCACCACCACCACACAGTGACGCCCCCACCAGCCCACCACCACCACCACCACTAGTAGCTGTCCCCACCAGCCCACCCACCACCACTAGTGACTGTCCCCCACTGACCCACCACCACCACTAGTGACTGTCCCCACCAGCCCACCACCACCACTGGTGACTGGCTCCCCCACCAGCCCCACCACAGTGACTGTCCCCACCAACCCCACCACCACCACCAGTGACTGTCCCCACCAGCCCCACCACCGCCACTGGTGACTGTGCCCACCACCACCCACAGCCACCACTAGTGACTGTGTCCACCACCAGTGACTGTCCCCACCAACCCCACCAGCCCACCACCACCACCAGTGACTGTCCCCCACCAGCCCACCACCACCACCAGTGACTGTCCCCCACCAGCCCACCACCACCACCAGTGACTGTCCCCCACCAGTCCACCACCACCAAGCTGCTGTTCACATTATAAATATTCCTAAAATCTTATTCCTGTTGTCATCAAAGGTCACATTATCCAAGCTTATAATCATATAATGTTAGTTTACCGTGGTTGTAATTATACACTAGTCGCTATTAATGTTTTTTTGTATCTTTGTCTAAATATCAATGAATTTTAATCATATCCCTGATATTTAAATATTTTCAATGAGGTTTGTTCATGATTACTACTTTTCCGCCCTACAGTACCGTCATCACCACCAGAAAACGTTAAGTGTGATCCCCTATCGTCCCAAGCTCTGAGGGTCCGCTGGAATCCCTTACCTCTCAACCTTTCTAATGGTCCTGTTCAGGGCTACAAGGTCTTCTATAAGAGAACATCCAATATTGAAGGTGAGGGAAGGATGACGTCAGTTGTGGAAGCTTGATTTTTTTAAGGAATGTGAATTAGCTATTTCTTGTTAATGAATTTGATATGTCCTATTAAAGAACCATTGGTGCTAGTTGTATTATAAATAGGAGTAATAGGAGACAGGTAAGATAAGTTGTAATTGTTTTATATGAGTGTTGAGAGTTAATGAATAGAAATCAAATCTCTGAATTACCTGTTGGCATTATAATAATCCAATGAAAATTAATACATACTATTAATTTAGCGAATCGGGTTATATATATATATATATATATATATATATATATATATATATATATATATATATATATATATATATATATATATATATATATATATATATATATATATATATATATATATATATATATATTATAGACTGATAATATAATCGGTCTTCAAGCTACCAATTTTGACCTAGAAACTTCAATTATAGGATCCAACGCAGTGGAGATCAAACGTACCACCAACTTGGAGACTAACTTACAAGGATTAGGTCGCTTCACCAACTACAGCGTGAGAGTCCTAGCCTTCACAGCGGCTGGGGATGGTGTCGTCTCTACCCGTATACACTGTGCTACTCTGCAGGATGGTGGGTATATTTCTTCACATTTCTTACGATACACTGTTATATACATGGGTTTAAAATATACATGTAATGATAAATAAACAGATGGATGAATATACTTATTGTAGAGTTGAAAATTCATAGTATACACAAACACCAAATACTTACATGGTATAGAAAAACAAATTGTACTGGGTGTTTTTTTTTTAGCTGTTTTTAATCTAGTTTTCCGGGTGTTATGTAGTGGCAGCTCATCAATAGGTAAAATATGTATAGGTGTTAAGCGTCTTTGTGTTAATAGCTTCATTGAGATGGTTGTGCGGTTATATTAACAGTTCCTGGAGCACCAGCAGCCATACGAGCTCTTCCTGCTGGTCGGAAAACAATCGTGGTCTCCTGGCTACCACCATCGCGTCCAAATGGTGTCCTTAATCACTACACTCTTTACTACCGTCCACTCAATGCTCCACAGGTAAGCATCTCTCTGGTTTTACCTGCATAACTCAATTAACCCTTGTATAGTGTTTAATATTTCTATCCTCAACAATTTATATTCCCTCATTTTGCCTCAAGTTACTTTTATTTGATGTTGTAAAAGATTATGTGAAGGAGGAAAGTATGTCATTAGGTAGTTACATTGTGTTACTAGTACCCAGAGATGTGATCAATGGTATAGTTAAGGAGTCATCGTAGTAAATGTCTTGTATGTATGTATGTATGTTTGTATGTATATTGAATGGATAGTGCAACAACATAAATTAGGAGAAAGTAAAAAAAAAAAATTCCTCCTCTCCTCACCATGATTGTTGCTCCATTTTTATAGTCTTAGATGTGTAGCTTCAGAACATTATAGCACTTACGTTAAGTCTATAATTTTTTTTTATAGCTGCAGTAAACTTCACATCATTGTTACCCCCTATGAGATGTATTCTTCATCCTTGTGTTGATGGGCAGTAGTATCTGGCTATATACTTAACATATTTGTCTATGATCTAAAGTAAACTATCACTTATGCTTCTTGCCTCTAGAATAACACTGTTTTTTATACGTAACTGAGCTGTAAAAAGATAAACACGGACTCACTTGGAATTAGTATTTAGTAACAGAAAAGGAGTAAAAAATTCTGGATGTATTTCATTGGTTGTAATATTTGAGGTTATGAGAGAAGTTATAATACGGATAATAATATCAGTCATATGAGAGGTTGTATATATTACCATCAGGCCACGAGTAGTTTGGTGGTGGCAGCAGAGGCCGGAGCGGTGCCTTGGATAGAACTGAAACGAGAGGTCGGGGAACTGGACACCCACGCCCGGTATGAGTTCTGGGTGACATCCTCCACTCATGTAGGCGAGGGTGCTGCATCCAGGGTGGTATCCGAGAGTCCTTCCTCAACAGGTGGGTCTTATAACACCTGAGGTTCATTATATCTGTAAAAACACATCAGCATAAAGTAGGTCAAGAAATAATGCCATACAAGAAATGATGAATTGTTATTATTGACGATGTAGTTTGAGGGATAACAAAGTGTAGTATTCAATAACCCAAGAGGAGTTAGGTTATTTTAGAATACTGTATATTTTGAAAAAAAAATGTATATCGGTTTTATAATTCCGTTTAAATAAATCGAAATCGGAATAAAATAGTTGGTTATGCTGATGTTTGTGAATGGGTGTTTTTGATGCAGTTGACGTTGGTGTTGGGTGACTTAACCACAGGTTTTACACACACAGTTTATGAAGCATATTATGTATAGCGTTGTTCGTCTCTGTGAACTTTTAACTCCATAACAATATCTCAAGTATCAGTGACACTTTACTATATAAACACGTGGGTTTTCACTTTTCCCAAAAATGTCGATTTGCGTCAAAAATATGTCTGACCTAATACAATACCTTGGTTTTCGGCACTTAGGGTAAAAAAAAATAGATTTTGTTTAAATTTCATACAAAGGTAGTACTCTACATGCTAATTTAGGATCTGGGTTCACAATTTAAAAATTCGAGTATTTAGTGTTAATTATTGATCTTTGAAATAATTAGACATTTAAAAAGTCAATTATACTGTTTCCCTAAGTTTTAAATCATCATTTTGTACATTTTCTTAAAAATATAGACTATCGGGGTGTCTACTGGTCTGGAAAACCTGGAAAAGGCAGGGAATTTTACAAATAAACCTAGAATTTTAGGTGAATTTATTTCAACTTCAATTTTTTTACAGCAATCTTACCATAAATTAATGATGTACTATACAATAGGTAAATAGTTAAACTTTTAAGAACAAATTCCAGTAAATAGCCCACCCCAATAAGTGAATTATTTGTGTACTGTACCTAGCATATTTCATGTTAGATCAAATAACCAAAAAATAAAAGTTGTACCTACTGATTCTGCAATGAGTATTGTCAGAGATGAATTGTTCTTATAATTAAGTGACTTTATTTAAGTAGATTATTCCACATATTAATCATGAGTCATTAAGGTGGATCAGGAGTGTGATTTTTTGTTTTGGGGCTGATTTCCGGCATTTTGGAAACGCCCAGGTCGATCCACGTGAATTGCACAAATATGAGGAGAAAACTATGGGGGAGAGGGGGGGGGGGTCAAGGTAATATTGGTCAGGTGCCGTACTCCTTGGGTTAGGGAAATACACATTCATTTTGGAGTCCGAGAACCTTAGGAAAAAAAATTAATGAACGTTATTAAGTTATCTAGGTGGTAGTTAATGCAAGTAATAACTCCGCGTTGTGTTGTGTACAGTTGCAGCAAGGATCAGGTCATTTGGACAGACTGTGGAGGTGCAGGCCGGGGGAACTCTCACCCTGCCCTGTGCTGTGGTGGGTATACCAACACCTACCGTCACCTGGACACACCTCGGCCGAGACAACATCCCCCAGACACAGGTATACGTTTACTCCTTCCTTCACCATTATGAGTCTTCTCACCTGACCATCAATACCACAAGTATATTCGTACGTTATATAGTATATGGTATTTAATCATTTTATTCATAAGTGTATTTCTTGGAATCCTGTTATAATAAATGACATTTTTCTATATAGGTACTTCCAGACGACTCATTACACGTGTCTGTAGTGGGGGCAGATGTCGCTGGTAACTACACCTGCCACACCCACAATCCCAGCGGGCGTGATGAGGTAACCTGGGTGGTGCAGGTGGTCCAGGCGCCCCCACCGCCCACACTACGGGTCCAGTACGCCACTGAAACAGCCATACATCTATCTTGGGACACAACTGGTGATGGAGGCAAACCTATTACCGGTACATCCAGATGATTAACCTTATCAGCACATTGTTTTATTAGTCTCAAATTACAGTAGTCTATTAATTAGCTTTATTCTTGCACTACTATGTGTTTGTATATCAAGTTAATGACCTTCATATTATGAGTATTAACGAGAAATTTCACTCCAACTCCAGGCTATGTTATCCGGTATAGTCTGGAGGGAGAGAAGTCTTGGGTGGAGGAGACGGTTGAACCCGGGGAGACCACCAACAGCCTGCAGCAACTCAGGTGTGGCTCCACCTATCGTCTGCAGGTGGCTGCCAGCAACCAAGTGGGTCGGGGTGAAGCTTCCCGCACCGTCAACACCAGAACCCGCGGCGCTGGTTAGTCTTCAAGTCATGAACATTATACTGAACTATTGACCCCCATGTTTACTTCTATATCTGTGAATATTATCATCTTGGAAAAATAACACCACAAAATTAATGTTTCTGTGAGGTAATTTACTAAAGATAAGTAAAACATTTTCCTAGTTACCGAGTTTTATAATTACTGTTTATATTCAAATACACATACGATTAATAGTCAGTATCAGGTGAGGTAGATAATTGGGGGTTTTTTAGTTGCAAAAACCTTTAAAAATAATCTAGTATATACTGTATATTACTGGTGAATGTCTGTTTTTTCACAAACTTCCTTGATAAAAAAATGATCCTTTATATATGACATCATCTAGAAACCAAGATTTCTTATATTTCATTCATCATTGTTCTCAAAATCCATAACTGAGGAAAGAATGTTTTACTAAAGTCACAACATATCAAAACTTCCTTGTGTCTCCAGCTCCTCGTCAACCACGCCATCAGGACGTTGTAAGCGTCAATTCCTCTTCTGTGACCTTACACTTGTACACGTGGCCATCGGGGGGTTGTCCTATCACCTGGTGGGCGGTGGAATACAGGTCTCACTCCGACGCCTCCTTCACCCCCGTTGCATCTCACCTGGCAGGAGATACGGATTCCATCACATTACCTGAACTCTTACCTCTGACCTGGTATCAACTGCGCATCACCGCCCACAATGCCGCGGGGTCTGCCACTGCCATATATGACGTCGCTACGGCATCTCTTACAGGAGGTGTGTATAGTGAGGCTAGTGTTCATTGTCTCTCCATAGTTCAATATTTTTCTACAGCAGTTGATATTTCTCCAATTCTCCAGTTTCTCTTCCTATAATGATCTCTTATCTCATTCGTCTCCTCTCACAACACCTGCGTCTTCCAGCACTAGGTTCTACTCTCAATCTGTTTTAATACTTGAGATCTTCCAGCCAACATTATATCTTCCCCAGTACACAAATCGCTCCACTTTAATATAGGTTATCCATCCACCAGCAGACAGCCCATTAAAACTTACCAACTCTCTCTCTCTTTCACAAAACATCAAACTCCTCCTTGTTTTCCATTCATCCAAATACCTTCCTCTCCCCCCCCCCCACCACCACCACTCCTAACACCTGGCTGGGTCCTCAACTAAGAGTATTATTGGCAAGGTGTCAACAACAGTGGCTGGTCAGAGAGGTCAGGTAAATGTTTATCCCATTGCTATCCTCCATGGACTCAGTGACGCCATCGGGTATCAATGCTGAATGAGTATGTTGATTAATGGATAAGCATTTGATTTGGTGATTATTTTCGGGATTTTTTTATTTTTTTTTTAGAGGTTGGAGTGTTTTAAATTCATTGGTTGGATTTTAAAATTCGACATTGCTTATATTTTTAATTTGTGTTTTTTAATTTTCTCTTGTATTTAATTTATTTTGGCGTTTTTCCCTTTGCTTTATTTGTGTTTGATTTTCACAGGTGCTTTGGCTTCCTTGCATTGTAATTTTCCTTGATTTGATTTCCCATTCCTTCGCACTGTCTTATTTAACTTCATCTCTTACCGTTTGACTTCCACATGATTTGTTGTTTTCTACCTTGTGCTGATTTGACTAATTCGTTTGTATGTCATTGTTTCATGTTTTATTGGATTATAAAACCAAACCCAAGTCAGGTGTTGAGGTAATTTTTTTTTTATTACGGGGATTAGCCCACCTGGGCACAGGTCACTGACCCACATCGGGGCCTGAGGGGGCCAAAATGTAATAATAATAATAATAATAATAATAATAATAATAATAATAATAATAATAATAATAATAATAATAATAATAAAGAACCATAAAGAAATACAAAAATGAAAAAAATCAAGAGTGAGAAACAATATATGTATATTGTGTTGTCAAAGTAAGAGAAACAATTGAGACCCTGCAATTGTGTGTAAACGAGGCAGAAAGTCAGATCAGCAACCTGGGACTTGGTCATAATTTTCGTGATGCCATATGGCAGCAGGGTCTACCATTAGACAACACATTATGCTTCCAATATCTTCCCAGGCGGTAGTACCTCCCTGTTTGGTAGCTGCCTACTACCTGTTATCGGAAAGGGAGGCGTCTTAGTGTGAAAGCAGGTTACTGATACAGCTGTGATGTGACATAAGAGGGAAGAAGGTTATCAGAGAATGTTTGAAATATGTCTGAAGCTGTAAAACGATCAGACGACCACCACACTAAACTGGGGTGGAATCTGTCATTCTCCTTTAACTCAGAGCAATCACTTGACATTGATGTCTTATGTGCGTAATAACCAAAACAACAGACTCGTTTAACAGATATGCAAGAACCACTTTTCAATTCCAGATATCTAACTATGGAAGCATTTGGCATTAATACGTATGGGAATGTATTTGTGAATATCTTAATAATAATAATAATAATAATAATAATAATAATAGGCTTATTCATATACTGTATGTATATTAATTAACTTTTTGTTCCTTTTGTATTACGACAGCAACACTAGCGCCAGAGTCTGTGGTAGAGGTGGTGGAGAGCAGTGGGTCGCCTCTCTACCTCGACCCTACCGTGTTGGCCCCTGTGGTGTCCGGCATAGCTTGTACTCTCGCTCTCCTGCTCTGTGTGGGTCTGCTTGTCTCCAGGGGGTAAGTGTGTGTTTTCTGTAGGTTTCTTATTATTATTTAGTGGTGTGTGTGTGTTTTGTCTTTAGTGTAAAATCAGCATTTCCCAATTTGTTATTACAGCAAAATGTTAAACTGGTATGGCAATATTTTTCCCTGCGTGAATAAACCTTAAATTATACACAACAATAACATAAAGAATAACAAATATGTACTTTATTTATAATATTTACAGAGATAATGTCTTAAAACAACTAACTATAAAACTTGCTTTTATCGCGTAACTGTTCGACTTCAATTCCCGGAAAATTAAGAATATGTTGACTTTACCCCCGACAGACGCGCGCGGTTCATGAAGAGTGAAACAGCGACCACCGGGGAGGGAGAGAGAACCACCGGAGGAGCCACGTACTCTCGCTCTCTGGCTGAACTACAGAATCACCGTAATGACAGTCAGGAGCAACTCTCACCCGCGGCAAGAGCCAAACATGAAGAGGCTTATACTGGTTAGCCACATTATATTACTAAACATTTCAGTCACACTCAGCCTTTCTTCTCCTTCATTCTTCAAAATCTTTAAGCTGTAAAAAAAAAAAATTAGATTCAGCTCCATAAGATTTAAAGGCTTATTGTTGCTGAGAGTTGAGTGCCATGCTTGGGTACCTTCAACTTGTATGTGATGAATGTGTTTTGTTTTTGTTTTGTGTTTATTGTGCTTTATGTACTTTTGTCTTATACATGTGACTTTGTTTTGTGTGTTCGTGTACAGTATCCAAGTGTCGGCGATGTTATAAATGGTGAAATAATCTACTGCTTGAGATAATACGTTCTTGAGTTATACCGTACTGTATGTTGGTAAGCTTTTAATCTCGAGAGAATGAACAACGATGAACTTACTACAATAATTATTACCAACCAACCAAACTTTGGGATCAAACCTTCGTCTTGTGAGGTGTTGAAACAGACACTTACAAAACACAAACACCGTGTAAAATATACAGGTTAACTTGTCCTCCGCCTTCACCTGGAAGTAAGGTTACTTTAAGTTCACCTGGAAATAAGATTACTTTAAGTTCACCTGGAAATGAGGTTACTGTGAATTTATCATGACCTAAAATTTATTATTGTGGTCATTCACCTTACTAAAAATACTGTACTAACTATATCAATACATTTTTAACTACGCAGCTTAAAAAAAAAAAAAAACTAACCTAACCCCCGTCTCTATATCACTCCAGCGAGAATTATATATTACCAGTTAGGTTAGTGACAAATGTTATATCGTAAACTTTCTCCCGAAATATTTACACAAACATATCAAATCATCGGAGTTATGGTTCCTGTCATATATTATTACAGCTATAAGTTAAAGCAGTAGCCTATGTATTTTACTGCCACCAACATCCTTAATAACTTTCAAACGCAACGCTACAATGGTTTGACGCATATTAGTATTATCACTCTATTCAAGATGTCAAATGGTATAGTTATCTAAGAGCAATGAGTGACGTTATTATTATGTAGCGATAAGAACTTAAACTTTGTCATTTAACCGTTGTTGTGGTTCTTTGCCGAGCCGTCTTGTGTCCTATTTTCTGATTGGTCGCCCTGCCATGTCCAGAGATTTGACTTTTATTTCCTTGAAAACAAAATCGAATCTATATTTTTTATTTTTTATGGGGGTTAATTATGGCATATGATTTATTACTATAGTATATAAAAGATACATCATATATTTTTAGTATATACATCTTTCACATATTTGCCTTCCAACACCAGGAATATGTAGACATGACTAACCAAATTTATACTTGACCATTGCATACAATCTTCAACACATCTCCAACACAACACCAACACTCCTCTAGTACTACAACATTCCATCAGCAGGCCAATATATCACAGGTATTACAACACTTACCTGTACAGTCACTCCAAAAAACTATCTATACAAAATTGTGTTGAAAAAATATAACACAATGGTCGAAGGATTTTGACAACCCTACCGAGACAACAGGAGTCACAGTGTTCATTGTGAAATTCATCGATCATCCCAAGTACAGATATTTGTCGGGGAGGGGGGGGTGGGGGTGCTGACTGTACCTAATACTCGTTACATAAGTTTACTGTAATACAAGATTAATTTTTTCATGAATGTATCTACAAGAAGAAATAGTAGTGATGTGTAATTAATTAACTAGAAGTTCCTTAGTGTTTTTATCTGCCCAATAATCCAGATTACGAAATAAATAAAACTTGATTGTCGCCTTTAAGTTTGTTTATGGAAAGAAATATAAGTTATATAACATTTGGAAAACAATAATATACGTAATCACATTTTTGGGGAAGTTTGGGTGTTTATAATTCACATATATAATGAAGTAATGTGTAGGGGATATATGAGTATTATGTGTAATAGAAAATATTATTCATCTATAATAGTCCAATGTCTACGTCGTGTAATTCTTATATGATTCTAGGTATATTTTTTTCTATATTTTTTTTAAAGCTTGTGTGTAAACTACAGTGAAACCTCTATTTAACGCACTATATGAAGAAGATTTATCCGTTATATCGAAGATTCGTTAGATGTGAAACCCTCATCTTACGGATTATACAGATAGAGAAGTCCGTTATATGGAAGTTTCGCTGTAGTTAGCTTTGTCATGTGCTGTACTGTACCTAATGCCGTTGTGTGCTCGTCTCGGCCGCAGCTTCTCGTCTTGTGTTGTCTTGTCTCACAGTCACAGTCCAGCAATTATAGTGTTGTTGATGCTGCCTTCTTGTATGTTCAATTTATATCTTTATTTTGGTTTTAATTTTTTTTTTTCAAGTTTTATTTTTTGTGTGAATGATGTTTAATATTGATACATTGTGTATTTCTTAATTTTTTTGTGGAATGTTTATTACTAACATCGCCCTTGCCTCAACACTTTCTGCTGAACACTAAATGGATCTTATCTTTTACTATTTTGTTCAGTTGTTTTTACTAGTACACTGTCTGGCCCTCCCCGTACTTATGTCCTCCCTCATCTAGCATCCTCTCACTCCCGTGTCTCCCTGATGGCGGGTTTTCTCCCTGGCAGTGGAGGAGCCATACGAGATCTGCCCATACGCCACCTTCAGCTTACCACCCGGTAGTGGTGGGGGCGGCGCTCTCGACTACACGCTACAGTTTCAGACGTTTGGCCACCAAGACTGTTACGAAGGCCAGCCACAACCGCCAAGGTCTTCCTCCTTCATGGGTGGGAAAAGGCGCGAGGGTGGTGGTGGGGTGGGAAGCACTGGAGCCACTGCCGGTAAGCTCCCCACTCACCCCCTTGGTCCCAATCACCCCTGTGATCCAGTTCACCCCTTACAAACCTTCCCCCGCTCTGTTGTCTCTTAACAGTCCTGTGGACCCCACCATTCCAGCTTTTGTTTATAAAGGTTACTGTTGATATTATTGGCAACCTGTGGGTTTTTAAAGAAATTATTTGTAACTAACACTAAACGCTAGTAGTCATCACTGCTGGAATGGAGAATGAAAATACTCTTAATTATTTCATACAGTAGACTGTGAAACGTGTAGGGCAAAGGAATGGCTTGATATGCATGTTCAGTGTTATTAGGTGTTGCTTGACACTCACTGAAGAGTATGTTGAGTGTACCTCGTGTACTTTCATGCATGTTCAGAAAGAACATTAATACCATATATGTTTTCACTGTTGCAGAGATTGCATGCATCTCAAGTCAACAAACTCTTCCCATCTCTTCGGTGGGTGTTCGTGGACGTGCATGTAGACGTGGACAAGCAGGAGAGGAAGGTCATGGGTCAGACAGTGAACAAGACACCAGTGGTAGCCCTGGTGCCACCCCCGCCCATGGTGTGAGAGACACTTACAAGGTTCCTGTCAGGTTAAGGAGAGGTAAGGGAGGCAAGGACTACTCAATATTATCACCACTGTATTCTGCATGTATCTGTAAGCTTTTACTTAAGATATATCTAATTTTTATATGGTTCTTCTAATTATTTTTATATATTTACCTCTTTAAAATACTAAAGATTACGAATACGTTCTCATGTATTCCGAATAAAATCTTCATAAAATTAAAAGAGAAAGAGAGAATTTTGAAGTTTGAGGAAGTTCAGTATCTACTACAAGATGGTACACAGTGTTAGTGTACACTTAGTACATTTTTCCAGCCTACACATTCTCTTTCCAAAAGGTGCAGACTTCACCTTCCACCCTCCAGACTCAAGCACTGAGAGCAATGATGAGCGATCTCCCATCCCACCCCGACGCCCACCTCATCTCCAGCAGCAGCAACAGCAGCAGCAGCAACAACAGCAGCAGCAGCAGCAGCAGCAGCAGCAGCAGCAGCAACAACAACAACAGCCCACCAACCTACCACCTACCCACCAACAGCATGCCCACCCTCAGCATGCTCGTAGACACCATGCCTTCACTCCCGCACATGCCCATGTCCTAAGGTGAACACTTTGTTTATATTTATATTATGGGGATTTCTTACTAAATTTAAGCTATTGTCTGCATCAAGACAAAGTTTTCATTAGTTTAATAAGGGAGCAACACTGAAGGTATCGCCAAGTAAGTGCTCCCGTGTGCAAAATTTAACAATAATTAGCTATGAAAATTATTTCCTGTGAATTATTTATGTTACATCCCAGTATTTTGTATCTGGCTGTTTGTGCATGTATGTGTGTCATCATACATGTGTGTGTGTGTGTGGTCACAAGTGACAAAGCAACTGCTCTTTTGTGTGATAGTGCAAGTTTACACTCAGAAGTGTATGTATGTATGTATGTATGTATGTATGTATGTATGTATGTATGTATGTATGTATGTATGTATGTATGTGTGTGTTCACACTGATGTGTCCGTGTATATATGTATGTCCACTCGGCTGTGTGTTTCTGTAGATATGTATATTCATACGAAAAGGATGTTACTGTATCCTAATGAATGTTTATTTGTGTCTACATATGTGTACTGCATATGTGAGGGTCTGTGTATACAGTGGTGTATGTGTAATTTAGTATAAGGACACGAGTTCGTGATAAACTTAATAAGGTCATGTGCAGTATTTTACGGTAGTATTTTTTTTACGTTTTTATTCAGTCAGTGGTGAGTCAGTCACTCACCTGACAGTAGTGGCCGTAACATAAGAAGTATCTAACGCCTGACAACTCTGCCTCACTCAGGAATCAAACCCACCTCTTCATATTGTGACGTCAACTTTGTTATCATGTATAGTGTCTTTTATGTCAGTCTCTTTAATGTTTGTGTTTCTCTACATTCAAGACAGTTTATACACATTTTTCTGAAATTATTCAATTGCTACCAGTTACAAAACATACAAGTTTCAGTGAACAACAAAATATGATGAAAACATTGGTGAAGTATTTGGTAATTTTGGTATGAGTCTTTCCCAAGCGAAGTAGTACCTTGGCACCTTAGGGTTGTGCCGGGTGATGACTGTGTATTAGGAGAGAGGGTCGACTGAACACATGTACCAGAGATAAGAGTAAAAATAGTTGGGAAATAAAAATAGTGGAACAACCACATGATGTTCGAGAATGTTTGATATATAGAAAGATAGAAAAGAGAAAACCAGAATTGTAGAGGAATATTGTAAAAGTGAGAATGCATGACACACCAGCGAGTAATTCTGGAGGGAGACTGTGACCAAAGAGAGGCACCAGTGATGGAAGGTAAACGACTGTACCTCCTTCACTTCCAACCAGGTAGTATTGCAGTGGCCACCCAGGAAAAACGGATTTATTGTTCATCATGAAAATATCTTAATTATAAGTACAGTGTAAGTTTTTGGTTTAGTTTTGTAGGAAAAACAGTGTCTGACCGGCGGTGACGAATTCTGTCCAAAATTAATTATTAAAACAACTTCATAATCTAGGGTACTGTTAAGACAATTAGAAAAATTTCAACATTTCTACCACAGATCCTAAAGGTGACCCGTTATTCAGGTGATTAATATCTTCAGATAATCATACACACGAAATCTGGTGATTTTATTTTGTTTTGGAAGATGATCCCCCCCCCCCCCAAAACAGGTCACAACAACAACTGCCGTGATGGTACAACGGTTCAGTGCGTTGAAAAAATTGCGTGATGAGAATGACTTAAAATTTTGTGAGGGTAAATTAATGAAAGTAGAATTTGAGGGTGGCCGGAGGTGAAGTGGAGGTGTAGACTAACAGAGATGAAGGAGAGCCTTGAGTGTGTGTGTGTGTGTGTGTGTGTGTGTAAAACTTTCTTCAGGTGACGGAGTGTTGACATGTACGGGGCCCGGCCATTGTGTGGGGAACCTTGTAAACACATATAGGAATAAATACATTGGGACTTGATTGATAATTATTCTGAAAATTAAAAGAATGAATATTACAATAAAATATTAATTCATTACATTATACAGTCGCTGTATTTATTTCTATTATATGCTATGCCTTATTCTCGAGTCTTTTCATTGCAATAAATTCATACAGTAAAATCACAAGCAAGCAAAGCAAGAAATTATCGCAACTAACTAAAACTAAAGTAAACTGTGATTCACTAAGTTTCACTAAGTTTTATGGAAATCACAGAAAGACGAAATAGCTATGTGAAGGTTCAGTGACACGCGATTACAGTACCGATAACAATTGTACGGGAATAGCGTAGTCATCATCTGGGAGGGGTAGTGCAAGGCTTTAATCTCTTCATGTTTGTTTACTAAAGTTGTTCTCTTCAAATTTTGATTTAATATAGAATACTGTATCTATTGGGCAGCTGTAATAATTAACATTTATGTTAATTTACTTCTCTAAGTCTGACGTCATTCCATATAACCATTTATGAATTTTTTTTTTAGTTTAACCGTATTTGAGTATAACATAATATGGGGTTAATTCTTATTGTGTTTTCTACGAGTGAAAATATTGCTTAAATTCCCAGTAGTATAACAGTAAACAATTATTTTTTTATGAGTGGCATTATATACTGAAATATCAAACAATACAAGAGTTAGTGGCGAATGAAGCACTCGCGTAAATGTTGTACACTTGTTCATATAAAATTTTATCTCAATACTGGGCATTCTTCCTGTGTTGTGACTCAGGGACACCATTATCACTAAACATGGAAGCACTGTGTGTATTGCATCCTGAGTCTCTCGTGGTCACCCTGAGTCTCTCGTGGTCACCCTGAGTCTCTCGTGGTGTTCATTTGTAAATATATATCTCTTACTTTTGCACTTAACATAACATTCTTGCTTAGGAAATAAAGAAAAAAAAAGTGAAGGTGAGCGAGTAAAAGGGTAGTACGGTATAGGCAGGTACCCGACATATGGACCACAATCAGTGACGTCATGTTCTGTTTTCAAGTTCTGGGTGTTAATTTGTGCAGTCCTTTTATCCCTCTTGGCCTTGTGTTTTCAGAGGTTTTGGTTCATCAACAAAGATGTTTTCTCTATGGATTTAAAGAGGTAGAGAAAGCATCATAGGTATATTAGTCTTTCAAGGCACGTAAAACAAACACCAGCCAGGCAGTATAGTAGTGTTAAAAGCTGTACACTGATACACAAATAAACATAAAATCTAAATTTTTCCTAAAGTCTGTGAAAAGTCGCATTAATCTTAGTCACCTGAGTTGTTGACTTCGATATATACGTAAAACTTTCAGATTGGATCTGTTTAGATTTTATTTGAACTTGAATTAATTATTAAAATCTAGCTCATCTATGTTTAATAGCTGGTTGTTTATCTTCTCTGTAAAGTAGTGTTTCCTAATGAGGTGTTGTGGCTATTAATTCAGAAGGTGAGATGTGTTTGAAAAGTTTTATTTCTGGTATTCATTGTGACACCACATGCACGTCAGACAGAACTACTTATACTGGCCTGAGTATCTTGTCATGAGCAGAGTACCACAGTCTTCATCACAAACTATTAGTAATTACGTTTAAAGAGTACTGAACGTGTTACTGCAGTTATCATTACATCAAGACGGGACATGGGTATGGTCTTTTATCTCTGGTGTAAACTCACTTATTATGTCTTGTGCATGTACTCACCGGCAATGCATATATCGTTCATGTACTTTATTGGTTGTACAGTTCGTTCATGTACACAATGGTAATACATACCGTTCATGTGCACATGTCACTATGCATACCGCTCATGTACACAGTGGCTACTGTTCATGTGCACATTTGTTCATGTAATTAGTGGCTATACATATTATTCATGTGCATATTGGTTATACATACCGTTCATGTACACACTTGTTAACAAGACCTTCAGGAGCAGATGTACACATGTCATGACTGTGAGTTAATTAGCTTGCTTTTTTACTACATGTACTAATGAATACTGACATGATGTGCACTCTGAAGCATGTCTTGATGCATACAAAGTCTTCGGTGTCTGTATTCTGACCAAATACCTTAACATTGATAAAACCTTTCAGTGTAGACGTCTAGAGAGAAAAATACCCTTAAGAAGACCTTAAGGATGAGTGCAGATTACGATAGGGTTGCTTCAGGTGTTTGTAAAATTATATAATATTGTCAAATACTTTCTGCTGGCAATGTTGAAAATGTTTCATGTAATTTTAATCAGGGTAATCATGTGATGTTATTCCTGTGGTAGCTCGTCATAAACATACGACGCGGGCAGTGTGCCTGCCTCAGTTCAGGCAGTACACCACGAGCCTCCGGCAGACTCCTACCATGACCTCTCTCATTTTGTTTAATATTTTTTAATATTTTTAGTTCCTTAATTTGGTTCAGCAACCATTTTTGGCCGCTCATAGGATTTTTATGACAAGATGTGATTCACCACCAGTTCTGAGACTTGGGCTCGACGCATTACCAACACAACTAAATTGTTCGAAAACGTTTGTAGTGTGGACGCTTTAAGTCGAAGTTATGAAGTCACGAAAAAGAATCCCTAAATATTATTCACTTTTGGTCAGCAGGATACTTTGCTTGGGAGCCCAGGTTATGTGGTCAATATACGGAGGAAGAACTCCTGACGTGTGTGTGTGTGGAGGGGGGGGGGGCGTCAGCGGCACCTCCTGGATCACTCTCATATCCGAAATAGCAAAGTTCGTAATGTTATGGCTGTTATTTTGTCACATGAGCCAGGTTAGCCTAAAAAAAAGACTATGTACGAACCAAACCTGAACACAAGAGGAGAGGTGATGGTAGTAGCCAGCTGTACACCTGAAAGTTATCATACTACATCTTGTCTCTTGATACCCAATAGACATTATCTTAAACCCTTCTGTTATTTAACTTCATTTTCGTGACTTTTAATATTTGAGGTGATTTTTGATAGTCGTTTGCTACACAAATATTTATTCCACAATACATCGTAATTTGAATGCACATTATGATAACATATATAAATATTTATTGCACAAACAAGATATTTAGATACAGGCTCACTACCATCCTCACTTCATATTTTAACAGTGACTAATTACATACTTTTTAATAGCTAATCACATAAATGACCCCTGAGAGAGAGACTACACCTGTTAACAAGCAAATGGAGGGTTATCTTGTCTGAGGTCCAGCGATTATGACTAAAAACACATACATACATACATACATACATACATACATACATACATGTTTATTTAATTGAGAAGGAAAAATAAAACTCCATAATATATAATTTATCTTATTGAAAAAGAATGAGGAAGACTCAGATTAGTTGGTGTCTCCACAAAGTCAGTTTATATTTGCCCCGAGGAAAAGACTGGGATAAGAGGTCGTTGGTTTAGAATATTTATCATCTATTTACTCTGTGATGATTCATTTCTGTGTATCCTTGTTTCATTTAGGTATATATAGGAATTATGGTAAACAAACTTTGCTCTGCTCACAACCTTTACATATACTTTTTTTTTTTTTTTCTTTGTTTGCAGTAAAAGATTTTAACTGTTCTTCACAAGACCTGTTTGCCTTGTCATTGCACCTGCATTCACTTTTGCTTTGTCTGTCCATGCATTCAATAAAAATCATGACGCACTTTGCCCTCCCTTATAAATATAGCAACAAGTTCCCCCCCCCCCCCTAACCTCTCTATCCCCCCCATCCCCACACTGTTACGTCCTTCCTTGTGACCCCATGACCATCATGCCCCCCCACCCTCAGGTCTAACACCCTGGAGAGTGTGTATTCAGTGGAAGGGGCGGTGGGCGGGCCGCTGCGTCCACCCACAGGATTCTCAGATTCTCGTGAATTATCAGAGGCCGAGTGTGATCGCGACCCTCGTGAGGCGGGCATTGGAGGACAAAAAACCAGAGCACAACAGCCAAGGTAGGAAAGAGATAGTAATTTAGAATAGCTAGAAGTGAGGTGACTTTTTTTTATAATATGAACCACTTTTTATTTATATGATTTCTAGAGGATAATGTCTTTTAAATTTTAGGGAATAAAGAATATGAGCATTAAACTTTTATGAGGTACAGCTCAGTATTAAATGGAGATAGATGGCTTATCGTACAGTATATACTCAGAGCTGGTCACACTGCCAAGAAACACACCCCATAGAGCTGGTCACACTGCCTAGAAACACACCTGGCAGAGTTGGCTCACTGCTCAGACACACACCCCAGAGCTGGTCACATCGCCAAGAAAAACACACCCTACAGAGCTGGTCACACTGTCGCAGACACACACCCCAGAGTTGGTCACACTCAAGCAAGAAACACACCAGCAGAGCTGGTCACACACTGCATACAAGAAACACACAAGAAACACACCCCATAGAGCTGGTCACACTGCCTAGAAACACACCCCGTAGAGCTGGTCACACTGCCAAGAAACACACCCCATAGAGCTGGTCACACTGCCAAGAAACACACCCCATAGAGCTGGTCACACTGCCAAGAAACACACCCCATAGAGCTGGTCACACTGCCTAGAAACACACCCCATAGAGCTGGTCAAACTGCCTAGAAACACACCCCGTAGAGCTGGTCACACTGCCTAGAAACACACCCCGTAGAGCTGGTCAAACTGCCTAGAAACACACCCCGTAGAGCTGGTCGCTGTCATACAAGGGTTAATACAGTATAACAATTCTTACCAAGATACCCCGTAGTACTGATGGAGTCTTGCCCGGAAGAGAAGTTGTCGTTTGTATGTTATTTGATATTTTTTTCTAATTTTATTTGCTGTTTTTCATCACAGTAAGACTTTATGTCAATATACATAACATTCAGCATCGTTAGGAAGATAGACTTTGAGGATGTTAATTTATGTTCTTGTATTTAAATCTCAAGTTACCTTATTAAAATCTGAGCTTCGGGAGCCTAAACTTCTTTGAACTGGTGGTTACCGTTTGTGTTACTTTGTTATAGTATGACAGGCATGGTGGGCTTGGTGGTATGCATACAATACATACATACATATATACATACTTGATTTTTACTCTATATAACACGCGGATTTGAACATATATTCAACGACCAATGATTACATACATACATACATACATACATACATACATACATACATACCATACATACATACCACTCGCAGGTAAACAGCAACAAGACTTAAATGAATGTGACACAAAACTCGTTACATAAACAGCGTAATGTTTATGTATGAAATCTTTTTTTCTTTTTATTCATAAGCAGTGCTCACAGTGGCAGTGTCATTCAGTGTTAGCTATAGATTACAACGAAAAGCATTAATATTGCGAGGAAGAAAACATTTAAAAAGTTGACGCAAAAATAGGATTAAGCTGAGGGAAAATGGAACAGTGTTTACATTTGTCTTGTCTCTGACGGCCTGTGGTGTAGTTGTCAGTATACTCGCCTCTCTAGTGTGTGACTCTGGTTTGATCCCGGGGAGGCTGAAACTATGATAATTTTGTTTAACACCAATTGTTTCTTCTCGGTAGTGATAAAGGGACGTGAATATTAATCAATTGGTTATCCAGTGCAGTAGGCGAGTTGTCCGGTCTTCCTGGGTTACTCCTAGACAATGGGTCATACAGCTCGTTGACTCGGTGTATGGTTTTCGGCTTGTAGCGACATGTTCCCCTTAATCAAATTTACACCTTGGCTGATGATCCCGGAACACGGGGAGGGGAGGTTTGACCACTGTTATTATTATTATTATTATTATTATTATTATTATTATTATTATTATTATTATTATTATTATTATTATTATTATTATTATTATTATTATTATTATTATTATTATTATTATTATTACTACTACCATTATTGTACCTGGGTAGTTCACTTCTTGATGGAGCCTATTGTGTAATGAAGATGAGATACAGTACAGGTTGTTTGTTTTGATTAGGTTTACTGGAACGAGTGGTGGATGAGACAGGATGTAGAATTCATAATGAAACGTTATTTAAGATTTAAGTGTTATCCTTGATTCCACTCTGAATTACCTCCTCCTTATCTCAAGTATATTGGGTTAAAACTGTTAGTGAAATTGTGTGAGAATCTTAATAAACCACCGAGACTCAGCTAAACTAAACAGCAATACTTTATTCCTTCAGTGGTAAGGTAAGAGGATCAGTTGACTCAGTTGCGCCCCCTCACAAGTTGGTGGGTCAAACATGGGCTCACCTTTTCCATTCTTTCTTGGGTGTTGTCTTCGTTTTTCATATTGGTTTGGTTTTCCAGCCCGTGAAGTCATAATAAACAAGCATAATCTTCCATTTAACTTCTCAAATCAGTTATTTCAATCGTCTCGTTATCCCTGACTACCTATGGAGATACGAGCCTTTTCCTTGTTCTGTGTGTGTGTGTGTGTGTGTGTCATAACTACTAATGGTTACAAGATATTCTGTTTTATTCACTATTACTCTAAACTGTGATTGAAACAAATAAAGAGTATTAATAGAGATAGAATACAATGATAACTTTTTGATGTATCTTCTAACTTACTTGTATAATGTGGAGTCTTCAAAGTGATGTCACCAACTGTCTTCAAACCCTTCGTAAATAGTTCTAATGTGAACATGTGACCTCGAAAATTTTTACCAAAATCCAACTTGAAATTCCTGACATTAGAGATTGTAAAAAAAAAAATATATTTGCTATTTAGAAGTTCAAGAGTTAACAGTACAAAAATTAAACAGACATTTCCTCGTTACATTTCTTTGCTACATCAAACTATCACTAGACGTATTTATGTGTTAGGAAATTATTTATAGATTATCACGTAGAAGAAAGGAAATAGAATAGTTCTCAACATTTCTAGCTTGAGGTAAGAGAAGGTAACTATGAAGGAAAGAAAGAGACTAAGAGTAAGAAATGTGTCATCGGAGGGGGGGGGGGAGGAGTGTCGCCTATCACCACACAGTTATACACCGTGATGATATATGAGCAGCATGTAATCTTCCTCTACAGCTGATAACCTTAACTTTGGACATACAGTATTTATAACCTAGCCACATATTTATTACCAGGGTACAGTTTTGTTGAACCAATAGGGATCTTTTGCCACAGTTTAGGTATTATTTTAATCTTAATTACTTTCCCTTTTTCTACACGATTTACCTGGTGATTGTCTTTGCTTTGCTTTACTGAGAGTTTTGTCGAAAATGTTTCAAAGTAATTCTTTGTGCCTGTGAGTGAGCTGGCTCTTGAAGTGTCTCATAGGTACAAACATAATAAGAGTATCAAATATTAAAAGACCATCAGGTAAAAGACGACGTTATTGTTGAAGTGTTTAATGAATTTTGACTCTTCCAAATTATATATTTATTCTCCTCTTCCAGGCGATCCTTCACTCCGCGCACTGCTAATGACTACAGTATCCACGTGTGAACCCCCAAGTAGATCCTTTTCATATAAATTTTCTGTATAGTTGTATATAAAACTATTGTGAATGAAAATAAGTAAAACATATCATCTTTTCATTGTGGGTTTAATTTTATCTTGACTACACTTATGTTTCATTGAAGAAGAAGAATGTGAGGTACAGGATACAAATCACAAGAGGACAGTATTTAATAAGAATTTACACTAATATGCTAAACTACGAACAAATGACAGAACCAGTCCTTAGTAAGTCTTCTAAACACTGTGTTCGATTCTAGGTTACACTTGATGCTGGGATATGGTGTCTAATACAACATGAGCATCCAAGCATATCTCTAGTATGTCCAGCATATACAGAAACCACTAATGATTTTTTTTATCCATCCATAATTTTTAATTCATAAAGTAATGAAGGTTATTTTTCTGAAAAGTTTGAAAATTCATAATTGTATAAAAATGTTAGAAACAGTCACTCAGTATCAACGAGAATAATAGCACTGTAAGATACGTTTATTTACTAAGAACAAATTATGCACACCTTCCCCTCCCTCTCTTCCTGTCTCCCTTCCTCCCCTCCCCTCCCCTCCCCTCCCTCTTTCCCTCCCTCCCTCTTTCCCCTCCCTCCCTCCTCCCCCCTCTCTCTCCCCTCTTTTTCTCCCTCCATCCCTCCCTCCTTCCTATAGTGAGTTATGTCAGACCAAACCAAGCCAGTAGAAAAACATACATATCAGTAACTATGAGGGAAGTGCTACCGATAGGTGGCGGTTATTGTTTGTAAAATGTGAGGTTGCATTATTGCCTCGGGGGGCTATTCTAATCATACCATGACCACTGCCCATATGTGTCATCAGTACTCTGGTATGGAAGCTTTGGTCTTGGCGGAAGGTGTAATAGTTGTTTATCAGATCATAGCTTGCAGCTCAGAGAAGAACAACACATATAGCAGAAACTAGATGCGCAGGTGTACACCCATGCAAGTTGACCCACCCTACAGTAATTATAGTGAGATTAAGTCCTGACCCAACAGAAGTCACGGTCACAATGAAACAGAGCTGCCGTGTGGTTAGACAAACTGGAGACATGACCTTGTTAACTCAAGAAACTACCCTCCAGCTAGCCAGTACACATGACACCTGGCCAGACACACCCAGATTAGTGACGACATCTGCCGGCCTGACACCTCCAATATAAGGGGCCTACAGCTCCTAACGCAAGGCAGACAGGGAGCCAGATGGAGTCGCATTCATCACAAGTCAAGGTCAGGAGGGTGACTTCCTTCCCATCACCGAGTCCCCAGCTAGCAGAGTCTCGCACAGGACACAGAGTCCAGCACCCGCCGGGACCACTCTCTTCAGCAGTACCTGCAGACAGATTCCCCAGCCGCTGGGCCTCCCTCAGGTCACACGTGAGTCATTGGCAGAACGATCCATAGAGTGAGTAACTTACGGTGAGGAAATATATCCATTTCATGTTTGTGCCAGGCAGTCATTGCCACCAGTATAATGAAGATAATCT